TAGATGGCTCATTGTAAAAAGACTAAATAAACGAGATATTGAGTGGATTGATTTCTAGCAGACGTTAGAAACAGATCAAACTTGAACAGAGTGCGAAAGTACAACAATTACAAGGTATGCACAGTGTAGAGGTTAATTTCCTCTATATCTGATTCCAATAAATAGTATCCAGGCTAAATCTCCTAGTAGAATTATGGATTTACTCGAGATTATTCAAAAGCCTGAATACCAGTTATAGAAATAGTACAGGAAGTAAGCACATAGGGAAACGAGTGTGTGTGTGCGTGTTAAAGGTCCATATATATTTATGAATGTTAATTGGTTATGGATAAATTATTGATTGTGTGTATTACAACCAATGGAAGAATAGATTAAAGATCAATGTGCAGACACGTGCTCGGTCAAACTCACGCAATTGTACATATTGGATTAGGTGTCTAAATTACAATGAGCATACGAATAATACAGTATTTAGTTGAATGAGCTTACTACAACAGAATGTTCTCAATCAATTCTGAAACATACATATAAAAATTGAAAGTGTACAAGGGTTGAAAGTTTTAAGTTATATTCAGGGATGTATTCAATAGACGTACTAGAAATCTCTTAGTAAGCTTTTCAAATCATGGTGTAAAAAATTCAATGAGCAAATCGGATTTCTCAGCTCGTTCAACAGACTATATTTATGAGTAAATTTGGTTCTAATTTTATAAATCGTTTCATAACGTCAGAGTAATGCAATACAGAATATCCTATTAAAAAGTCCGTCAATCCTCTACAGAAATAATAGCTTGTTGAATTAACAAAAGCTGTCAGAATCAATACCAATGTAATAATCGACTACACTTCAGTAATTCTAAGAGCTTATTTTATCCAGAATGAAGAATAAGGGATAGAAACGTAATGGAATCTATTAATCTACATAGGCTGTATATGATTAATGAAAAGAACCTCAAATTTTACATTATAGTGTCCGTTATCGACACATACAGAAACCAACTTAATTTCAGAAATATGGATTTAACTGAAAAAAAATATTCAAAAGCGATGGAAAGTTGTTGAATTTTTCCTACATTAACTCCGCAGAATTTTCTAGGCAATGTGATATAATGGGGCAAAAGTTTAGAATGGTAGATAGATTTTAATCTTAATGATTCACGAATGACTACCAAAACTCATATCTAATACTGGTTAAGTTTCCAAGGGAATTCCATTCATGTAAAATATTTTACACTTGAGTGCAGTTCTCCTGGATATCATATCATATTTTTATGACCAGTCATTATGTTCAGTTGTTAGCGAGACATAGATTGGATTAAAGCATTCTCCATGCACGGTTGCGTTGGCGCACTCTGATTGGCTATTTCTTATCTAAACACCATTAGTCGATACTTAGAGAACACTAGAATCTTCTCATGTGAAAACTATAATATATACTAACGTTTTTCTTATTGTGCTTCTTACTTCCAACTACCCTATTTATTTGGAATATAATTTCTTTCCTGTCCAACTGTGTTCTGATTTGGGGATTTCTCGAGTGAATCGGTGTCCAAGAATATTAAGCAATAGGAATAACTCGGTTGTAATAAGAGAGAGTTATAACATCAGCGTTGTTCATTCACCAGAATTTTTGAGTTAAAAAATTTGATTTGTTAATAGTCATCATAAGACTAGTCTATGCAGAATGATTCAGGCGATCATTGAATACAATTTTATACTTTTATTCAGCTATTAGAAATATGATTTAAAAGAAATGAATAAGATCTGATAAAGGAAAATATCAAATGATATTGAACTAAATATTTTGAATATTAATAATTGACTGTACAAGTGTTTATGGCTGCAAAATGATTAGGTATAATATAAACTACTGAATAATATTAAACAGTATGGAGTAGCACATAAAAGGGCCGTGACGGAAAGAATAAAGACGTGAAGATATTGAACATATAGTATTATCAGTATGGGGTTGTGGAGATTATTAAGATCATGAACCGATTGATTTTAGCTTCGTGAGGGAATTCTCGGAGTTCTAGTGAGAAGCCATAACCAGTGGAGTTAATCCATGTCGGGTAGAGACAAGTATCTACTTCAGTACAATGGAAAATGGTGGCGCAATTTCGTGGATCGGTTAAGGTTAGACATTACCACCGCTGGATGCCGGCTCAGTGGTCTAGAGGTCAAGTGTTCGCGCGTGGCCCTAGGTTCAAATCCCGCGAACGGGATCGTAGATGCACTGCTGAGGAGTTTCACGATAGGATGAAACGGCCGTCCAACGGTCCCAAGTTTTCAATGTTGTTCTGACATATAGTACTAGTAATTCTTAAAATAAAATTACTAAAGAAGAAGATATTGATAATAAAGTTGGAGGTAATATTAGAGCGAACAGGGATTATTTATGGTCTCCCACTAGAGAAATACTTTTGATAAATGAATGCGAAAGATATAAAGAGACATTAATTGGCGAGAAATTGTTTTAATCTGTTAATAAACGTAAAGAAAATTTTAATTGTTCATCAGCAATCAAGGGGAAATTAAAAATTAAAAATGCTAATGAATTAATTCACTGATTGATAACGAATGATTTTACTGGTGACCAAGGAATTATTATTGTGGCTGCTATTTTGAGATTGTGGTCGGACTTGTCTACTACAATAACTCAGTCGATGATAATAGTAAAAACGGTAACTTAGAGCCTAAGAGTGATGTCTTATAGATATTTATTTGATGTGGTAATGATTTTTTTCACATCACTATTTCGAATTCATTTAAGTCTACTTCCTAATAGATTCTGTTTACACAAAGGTGTTTACTAACTAATAATCTTTCCATTTTTATGTAACTTAAGCAATTTTCTTTTCTTTTTTTATTCCAAAGATCATGTAGTCTAATCGACTGCACAGTGCATAAAGTAACAACAATAGTAAATTTTCGGATTTGTTAACCATTTATTGATCAGACTCACTGAGAAACAGGAACAGAAGATAAATGATTTTGTGTTGGTTTAGTGAACTGGAATTCATGAAAATAATAGAGCAAGAGGACATAAGTGTACGTTAGAGAGAATCTCTGGAGGTTTTCAAACAAAATACAGACTATTATCCTTTATTTATTGCTTTAAAGGATAGAATAGTCAAAATCATTTTCAAATTCGTTAATTTTCGATTCTTAAATTCCGATATGTTTAATTATATCTATGTATAGCACTGACGAACGAAGTCATTTTCATTGTTTATACCTTACATTGGATGGCATTATGTAAAACTCATGAATGTGTAGATGTTAAGCCTTCAAAGAATTTTGGTTTTTATACATTAAGTATGAATTTATTAATACGGATAAAACAGCATACTTATAAATGAAGTTTGATTAGTTCAAACAAATATATTTACTTTTAAGAAGTGGCTTGCATCAAAGTTACGAAACGTCATGAATACAATTTTTCTACTCAGTGGGATATTACAAAAAATATGTTTATTATGAAGTTCGATTATGTTAGTTAAGTGATTTGAGAGTATCCTTAACTTTTGATCATTCTTCTTTAGATGTATCAAATCATACTGATCTAATGATCAGTGAGACATAGCTAAGAGTGGATTGAAAAAAGATTCTCCAAGCTGTTTAAATATTGGACCATGTCTTATGTTTTGTGTGATACATTATCTTACTTATTAGTATTCAGTAGTGTATGTTATGTGCAAACATTTATCGGACATATTTCGATTAATTTATATTTCCCGGTTACAGTGAGCTTGTTGTGTCATTTATTTATTTTAGGTCGTTTTCTTAATTGTGATGATAATTTTAAAATCTTTTTATGATGTTAAGTAACACTTTCTGTGACTATTTGTATTGAACAGCTTGCCTAACCAGAGCTTCATTCACTGTCGTTAATTGCTATTACCTGTTTGACGCTACAGTTTAATATTCTCTATTAATAGTAAATGTTATAATGTTGTTCGCATCCAAGTTTATACTTTCTTCTTTTTACTTTTTATTGAACTGTTCAACTGAATCATAAATGGTTTCTTCAGTCTTTGTTATTCAGATTATTTTCAGTTTCAGACACTACTCGTCTTGTGAATTTAAAGTTTTGTATTGTTGGCTGCTATATTAAGCCCATACAGCTTATTCTAGCTTCTGGACAATCCGATTTGTTCGTTCTTCTCAAATTACATTTTGACCTTGTTAATTATTCCCTTATCAAAATTGACTTTTTATATGAGCATATGTGTGTACATTTCTTATCCTATTCATCGCATGTCTGTAGCTTATTTTTGTTCGATAATAAATATCGATTCACGCTTGGTTAAGTCGAGTTGACTCACATGCCTTCTCCAATGTGCGTCATTTCGCTTCGTTCCCTCTTCTTTACTTCCTTTGCTACGACTCTCTGGTTGCCTGTTCCGATCAATGATTGTACAAAATCACAATTGATTGATCACTGGGTGGTGATCAATGTCATGTGTGTCAAGCCCTTATTTAGTGCAGATCGAATGCTATGGACCATGTTGCAATGTGGCTACCAGTCTAGGTGACTCGACAGGGAGCACCAGTTCCCTCAAGATTACAGGTACACCTTGCTGACGGGTGCCAAGTAGCACGAAACCCGGGTCCAGGGTTTCTTGTCGACTACCTCCAACCACCATCTAATTGTACAAAATATACGTATTTGAAATACGTTCTCGTATTTGACTTATTTTAATTCCGTTATTCACTAACGCGTGTTAAGTTGACAATTATATACGAGGACAGCTGGGATGTATATTTTGACAACAATCATTGATACCATCTAATTGGAGCCAGATATATGGCCAATAAAGTGATGAGCCCACCGATAACATCGTCCGATTTAACTGACGTCAAAATAAGGGGACTCACTAAAGTTTTATGAATCATACGATTTTTTAGGTTAGAATACTTAAATGTATATTATACAGACAAGCCTTCTCTACAGTTATCAAAAAAACTGAAAGAATGGAATAAATGTACAATTCCATTTAATTTAAACAAATGTAAAATATTATGATTGGAATAATAAAATTCATAACAAGTAGAATCTTTAATAAGTCTTTAAAGTAACCATTTACAATAGACAAAGATGATGATGAGGTTGAAGCAGCTGAGCATAAACCTTGTTTGTCATTCGATAAAATATTCTTTTGTATATTTGGATCATAATTATTTGGATCTGATTTTGATAAAAATGATGAATTTCGTTTTAGTGATGGGATAAGACCAGAATTATTTGTGAACCAAAATGTTTGAAATCGATTAACATATGGATCAGCTGTATTTTTTTTTAAAGAAAGAAAGAAAGAAAGAACGTAGTCAAGATAACACCTACTATTAAAAAAGTAACAGTTAAAAGAATATTATTATTTGTTTGGATTATGAGTACGATGGGGGAAACATTTTCTCCAATTTGTCATCTTCAATCAATAAATAATCGTTAATACTATGTGATGAAATGCGTGTTTCATCCAGTTTAGAAATATCCCCACGTATATATTCAAAGTAATCATTCGTGTTTTCTTTAATTGTTAGATAATTTCTGAAATGAATTCATTGTTATCTACTTAAACAATTTTTTCCAGATCAAGAGGTTTGTGGGAGTTAGTTTAGTTTACAGATGACTTTCTTTACAAACTAATGTTAGTTGGTGAACTGGTAAGAAGAGGAGAGCACTAAATAGCTAATTTTTCATAGACAGAACACAGATCTGATATCTAATCAGGAACTTTCAAGTTCAACAACATGAGCGTAACTTTCAGACCAGTGGTTCAAATTCATTACACAGCATGAAATTTATTAATGAGGAACTACAGATGTGTTTGAGCTTCTTCAGTTACAGATTCTCAGTGATCAGTCAGTGTTCATGTTTCACACTTACATGCAGTCAGTTATAGTCCAAATAGCTCAATGGTTGCGGTTCGAACTGTAACATTGAATAAATCAGTTCCCTCAAAGTTGCAGATACATCTTACTGACAAGTGCTAAGTAGCACAAGATTCAAACCCATGGCTTCTTTTCGATTGTCATTAATGCAAAAACTCAAAAAAGCAGAGGATTATTTTAGTTATAGTAGCTGAGAAAAAAAATAAACTAAACGAAAAAGTGTTAAACATGCTACGCTTTTTAAATACTTAAGATGAAGCCATACACTTGATCTGAATTCTCAGAAAAAATCAGATGAAAAACTTACATAGCAATCCAGTGAAATCTCCATTCACGATTCCCAATCGCATGTTTCTTGAATGGCAGACACTAGGTTGAGCTAGGAAAGAAAACAAAATAACTAAGTGAAAAAGCATTCGTCAAATTATGATATCCCATTTATTAACATGATATATATGCCGTTAATGTCAATAGATTCTTGACTACATCATTAATCCCCAAACAGCTTTCCTTCCTATTGAATTGATTCAGTAATAGCGTATATAATAAGAAAGCTCTCTTTTTCATTATGGAGCTAACTTTGTATTCAGAATTTGAGAGTTTCCATTTCGACTCCGAATAGAATGATATAATCCTTTTGATCTATTGACTCAATGATGAAAATGTTTCAACAATAACAAGTGATACGCACTTAGCTTTCATAACTCCTTTTGTTGTTGCATAAAACTAAATAAAATGTCTTCACTTAATTTAAACTCCAGTAGAAATATAACATACTATCATATCGCACTTTCTGATTTATATTATTTTTCCAGTTAGTGTCACTTTGTAAGGAAACCTGTCTTCGAACTTAACACATCTACAATTACTTGATTAAAGTCTCTGTAGAAACATAAACTCTAGTAAAAGACGTAGAAATCTAGCTAATTAGATCCTCTCAGATAATATTCGAATCTTCATTTGAAAAGATTGTACAAATTTAAGCTTAAGTTGCTTTTCGTTAGTGATTATCATCAAAGCAAGGGACCAGTGAAAACCATGAATCACTAAACAGCTATTTCACCTTAGTATGGGACATCTCAGTGGAGTACATCCATGACCATTGCTGGCGTTTAATCAATAGTATTCGGATCTATGTGTTTTACTCCAATGTATTATATAAATGATTTCATTCATTTCATAGAGCGAAACATTGCTCAATCTTATATGTAGATATTTATTTCATTTTCAACATGTTTAAATAACACTAATCATGACTTCTTACTAAGAACTTCAGCAATTCATCAGTTTCCATTAAGCATACAATTATTGTTCAAGATGATTTTTATCATCAATTAATATCAACCAAAAAATCATTGACATATTTCAATTCAAACTTATTGATCTGTAGATACATTACTTAGATGATTCAAAATTAGTATAACTGTCAAGTTTTATTCCTTATTTTCAACGGAACATATTCATACACATAGTTCCCTTTATCATTTTAAAAAGAGCAAGAACAAACATTCTAGCAGAATAGCATGAATCCATTTTTGTTTCGTTAGTTCTCATCAGCTGCTTACAACCTGTGATATTTTAAATCATAATTACATAATGGGTTTAAATTACTTACATGAGAGGGTTTAGTTGGAAGTTATATTGAAAACATATTCGTATAGTATAGCAAGGGTGTAAATAAATTTAATAAACTGAATATTGTAAATATATACCTTATGTAAAAGAACATTCTACAACATTGACAGAGACAACAATTCAAAGGGCCAGAAACAAGTGATTACATAATGAGCAACCGCTGATCGGAATAAAATGAGTAGAGTTCAGTTGATAAAACAAGATTATTAATTTGGAAGGATAGTTGAAATAAAACTCAATGATGTAATAAATGCAAGAAAGAGTTTAAAGAAAAAGGAAAAAAAGAATATATTAAGATACAGAGAAGCAATAATATTCAATCTTAATAATTCATAATAAAATATACACAACACAGAGAATAATACTAGTCGCCTCATTTTCTATTTCAGGTTAAGGTATATGTAGAGAGAAAGAGAGAGAAGTGAAAAAAACATTATTAAGTTATCCATAGGATCAAGGTAAATTCCTACTTTGTATTAATGGCAAAATAAATAAATCAGTTTCATTTTCATACAGAAGGAAAAAAGGGCCAAAACAACCGTTTGTTAATTTAAATATTAAATAACAAAGAAAAACATAATTTTAATAATAGATAATAAAGATTAGACATAATCAAATAGAAGTAGGTTAGATTTTAGGAGTTAACTATTATGTAATTAGTTTACATGACTTAATGAATGTAAACATTTCCATATAACATAATTTGATCATATCTATCTATTTAACTCTCCCTCCCTCCCTCTCTCTCTCTATATATATATATAGAGAGAGAGAGAGGGAAAGAGAGGAAGGAAGGATTATTTAGTGGTAAAAGATAATGACTAAAAGCGGAGTTTTGCAAGTAACCATATTAACAATGATATTATCAAGGTTAAGTAATATATATTTGTTATGTTTCGTTATTGCTTGAATGCGATTACTGATGCGTCTTACTCAGCGACTCGATACACTATTCTGGTCCGTTGTCCCCAACTCTGCTAACTCGATCAAGAAGTCTGGGTAAGGTGTAGAAAGTGTATTCTACAAACAAACAGCAGATAACAAGTCAGGCAGGCAGATCAGATCAAGCATACAAGTCAAGCGTATTTATACAATTATTTACAATCGATAGAAGATTTTTAAACATTAATCAATGAGTTCATTAATTGACCTATTTGCGCATTTAGTTGATAGTTCACCAATTGACCTATTTGCGCATGTAATCGGTAGTTCATCAATTGACTGCTATTCAAACATTTAATCGATTAGTTCACCAATTGACCCCAATAAAAATATCTAACATTTAATCAATAAGATGATCGATAAGATAAATTTTAAAATATGAGTTTGGGGATCTATCGTCCCCAACACTCCTCCCCTTTTTAATAGCGGGCTTTCCTGGGGTCAACCTGCATCCTGATTGTTGCTCGCCGTTCTCGGATAGGCCACCGTCTTGGACGTGTTTCAGTTTGTTGTTGAGGTTTTTCTTGTGGTGGGGTTGCCGGTAAGTTGAATGTGTCTAGCAGAATGTCAAGAGGAATATTTGATTCTGTTGATGGGCGGTCTGGGGCTAACCGTTTGCGTAACTGATTCCGATGGCGTTGCCACCTGTCACTACCTACCTCAACTTCGTACATGACTCGGCCAACTCTTTTGACCACTCGCGCTTCTGTCCATGGACTATGGGTCGGTCTGTAATCACGGGCAAACACCGGACATCCCACTTCGTACGTGGATTGCTTTTCAAACTTTGTCCGTACTGGTGTCGGTGCATTCCTTGGATGCATCAGGCTGTGGATTGTCTTCAGTCTTCTTCCCACTAGGATCTCGGCTGGGGACTTTCGCTCCGGCAACGTTTCATTTGGTGTTGTTCGATACACGTATAAGAAATTTTGCAACGCGTCTGCTGGCGTCCCCTCCCCCTTTGTTTTAGCCAAGGCTCTCTTAAACGTATCCACAAACCTTTCTGCTTGCCCATTCGACTGCGGGTGGTATGGTGGCGAGCGTAAGTGCTTTATGGCTAGTCGTTGACAGAATGACTGAAATTGGCTGGAGGTGAACTGTGACCCGTTGTCAGACACAATAGCATCTGGTATACCATTTCGAGAGAAAATTTCTGTGAGGATCTGTATTGTTTTAGTTGTCGTTGGCGGTATGATAGGGTTGATTTCAGGCCATTTCGAAAAGGCGTCGACAACAACTAGATAGGTGATTCCGTTAATTGGGCCTGCGAAATCGACATGTATCCTGGACCAGGGATACTCAGGCTGTGGCCATGGGACTGGTAGTATTTTCGCGTTACACTTAGCTGCTTGCTGACATTGTGTGCACTTGCTTACTAAATCCACGATATGTTGGTCCATGAGGGGCCAATAAGCATAGCTTCTGGCGATGGATTTCATTCGTTTTATACCAGGATGACCAGTGTGGAATTGCTTTAGCACCTTTGATCTTAGGGATTCTGGTACCACTACTTTATCTCCAAACATCAAGCATTCGTTTACGACGCATAATGAGTCCCGACGATGGTAAAGCTGTTTCAAGTCACCATCGAGTCCAGTCGGCGGCCAGCCATTTGTGACGTATTTCATCGCTCTCTTTATGATGGAGTCGTTCTTGGATGCAGATTGTATTTCAGCTGCTGAGACTGGCAAAGCACGAATAGCAGTTGTCAGGTAGCACTGCGCGTAGTCCTCTGTCATCAGGGAGGCGATAACTGTATCTTCGCCGGCCGTATGGTGTTCGCTGATAAGTCGTGACAAGGCGTCAGCCTGACCAAACTGTTGAGTGCGCCGATACTGAATGTCAAAATCATAACCCAGAAGTATCAAAGCCCATCGTTGGAGACGGTTTGCAGAATGGGCTGGAACACCAGATTTCGAACCGAAAATTGTGAGAAGAGGCTTGTGATCAGTGAGAAGAGTAAATCTTCGACCGTACAAGAATTTGTGGAAACGGCGTACTGCAAACACAAGAGCCAGAGCCTCTTTTTCTATTTGACTGTACTTTCTTTCTGCTGGGGTTAGTGTACGGGCTGCATGCATAATGGCTTTTTCCGACGCATCCGGAAACTGATGGGAGATAACAGCGCCTAGGCCATGCGCTGAAGCGTCTGCAGCTACGATGATCGGCAAGGCTGGATCGTAGTGTGTCAACAGCAATTCCGAACTAATAATGGACTTCAGTTTACAAAAGGCAGCGTCACATTGTTTAGTCCAGTTCCAAGAGCTGTTCTTCTGCAGTAAGCTATTGAGTGGAGCGCGAATATCATGCATCGATGGAACGAACGCTGAGTAATAGCTGACAAGTCCCAGGAAGGAACGTAGTGATGAGACATTAGTAGGAGTTGGCATCAGTTTGATAGCTCGGATATTCTCAGGATCCGGCCTGCGGCCATCGGCATCGAAAATGAACCCCAAGTACTTTACCGACTGCAAATGAAACTGGCATTTCTCTGGGCGTAACCGGAACCCATTGTCACTGATGCGTTGCAGTACCAATGTCGTGCGTTCTCGTAGTTGTTCTAATGTCGTTGCTACGATTAAAATGTCATCCAAATAAGCCGCGACTCCCGGGATACCTGATAGGATGGTATCCATTAGCTGTTGGAAAATAGATGGTGCAGTTTTGACTCCGAAAGGTAGACGGTTATACTGGAATAAACCACGATGAGTATTGATAGTTAACAGCTCTCTTGATGCTTCGTCTACTTCCACTTGCAAATAAGCATCAGCTAGATCCAGCTTAGCGAAAAATCTTCCCCCA